ACTTTGTACTGCTACAGGATTGGTGACACCACATGGAATCGAAGGGCGTTGGAAAAACTCTCGCCTACTTGGAATGGAACGTTGAGTACCTGAAGAAGGTGGAATATCTAAGCAGGTCACCTGACCTAAACCCCCTCAATTACCTGGTTCGGGCGGAGTTCAATAGGGTGGTCTACAGTGGCGGAGAAATCAACGATCTCGCTGAACTCAGGCACCCACGGTCGCGTGGCAGAATCTCTCGATGGCGCTCCTCCAGAAGGCTGTGGCGGAGTATCATGATAGTATTTAATATGCTCTTCAATATGGTGGTAGAAATGTCCGATCAGAATTTAATAAAGTGTAACTTATAGCGCCTCGAAAGTCAAGGAAGAAAAGTGTCTTTTTTTTTACCCCCCCCCCCCCCCCCCTCTATACATTGAATTCTCGAGACGCGGTAGGCGAGGCTGCGTACTTGAACTGAACGTAGTGGGAGCTCTTCGTGGAATACTTCGATTTTTGGACAATTGTAATCAAGTCTTTGTCCAACGCGAAACAGGATGATTGTTGTCTAGTATAAAATTAAATCCTACGAGTATTTCACCCCATAAAATGTTCAAATGGTACGCCTACTTCGTCTCAAGGATAAGTAGTGTAGATGTGTGAGGATCCACCGAGTTCGTAGACCTGATGTCGTCCCTCTTCATGCCTTCTCGGTTCCAGTGGTGAACTTTCCGATGGTTAGCTTATAGCAAGTAAAGTCCTGACAACAACGTCTGCGAAGCCTCGCTTTGATTTCAGCAAAAGACCCCCAAATGAACAGGAAAGAGGAGTGTGTAGCCATAACCCGTGAACTCGCGCTCTTTGCCGACCTATGCGGTTTTTGACCTACATGAGGTCGAGGCCGAGGTCGCGGAGGAGTGGAGGTGGAAACTCACTGTTAGTAGTACTGCAGCTTGGGTGGTCGATCTCACGTCATATCGGCGGTCTGAGATAGGTTAAGGGAAGCACAATTCAGCCTATCCGATCTACCGGTGGTCTGCTAGGATATCGAAATAGTCTTAAGTTCTTGTGGAGGCGTTCGAGGGACAATCTCAATTGTTTTTGGACTCTTTCAGGCCCTGACGAAGGCGAGGAAGCCGAAACGTTGGCCAATAAATTATAAAAATCTTGGACGGCTCAAACTATCCACCTGTTCGAAGTCCTGAAGTTGTGAGCAAAGGGAATGGGTTGTTAAGCGATCTCTCCATCCGCCGACCGAGGAGCATGGACCTGTTTTTATCTTCTCCCTGGCGACATATGTGAATGCTCAGCGCCAAATGCAGTGTTCCGCATCCAACGTTTCTTCCCTAAGTTCGTCAAGATGTTCACCGACGGATGCACACACTTCAGGGCATGAACAAGAAACAACAACAAAAAGTTAGTCAAGAAGTGCGGCACAAATGGCGGCCTCACACGTCGTGTAGTTCGATACAGCGAAACATAGCGCGGCCACAGATGACAGCAATAGAGGAGGGGTGAAGGAAGAGGAACATATGAATAGACAAGAGAAACAGCCGAAATCGTATGCTTAGGAAGGGAGAAAGTTCTCCTCATAGAAACATCTTTTCCCGCTACTAGGCTTGAGCTTTGCGCTACTTCCTCTTTAAGACCCATTGGACAACATCATGCTGGATACCATCTTTTTCAGCACTCTTCCAGGCAAATCAGCTTCGGTCGGATCAAAGGGGCTGTTAATAGGATCAAAGGCTGTGGCGCTGTGGGCCAGTCTCTGCCAACGTGAGTACTGCGCGTTTTCCTGTTCAGACGTAGTAAATCCGATCAAGACGGTCACCATCTAACCGCGAAGCCCACGATTCGGGTGGAGTTCGGAAAGGCTTCACAAAACTAAATAATACCAGTTACAACTAGCTCCCGCTGAGACTTTTCGAGAACAGTCCACCAGGGATTAAGGGCACCGTCCCTGAGGCACTTTCATCCCAATCTCCCAAGCGATTGTTGTAATATAATGAATAAAATGCCCACACCTCCCCCCTAAACCTCAGAAAGTCAACCTAAGTGCTCAGTTCGAATGAAAACTACTTACAGCACAACTGACTGCATTACTGCACTTTACCAACTCTATCCTACTAGGTGGATATAGGAGATGGGACCAATATGAACCAGAGCAACGTCAGCCGCTGTAGCAGAAGTACAAACTATTCACATATCTGGGCAGATTTCTAATATAAATCCGCGGAATAAAACTTGTAAAAAAGCAATTTTACTTTCAATAAACAATGTTGCACATCAGAATAGAGGAAGTATTCCAGCAGTACAAAATGTTTTTAAACTAGAGCAGAAACAATCTGTGAGCGATGAGCAGCTGTGTGAGGTGGTGGAATGGGGAAGCCTTACTAGAACACGCTCAGCTGGGAAGCCGATCGATAGACAGCCGGGTGGCCACCCGCAGTTGCAGCTGACCGCTGATCAAAGAGACCATAGAACAAGGGACATCTTATCCGAGGGCTGACACTTGACAGCGCTACATTCCTGTCATTTCGGTTTTATTTTCGCTTGCTATCAAAACTGGTTTCGTTTCCCCTTCGTCATCGTGTTTCCATTTCGTTTATGAAGATGAGATTAGTTTCTCGTTGTCCAAGAACCTCTCCCTACCAAAACAGTACAAATCCCGAAGATAGGATGGGCGTGACTGCGAAATTTATTTGAATGTGGCAGGGGCAGCGCTCCTGTTGTGATGTTTTCGTTTTGGGACAGTCGTTAATCATGTATTTGTTGAGAAGGAGACAAAATGATAGAAGACAAGCTGGCTAATCGAATGGATGTATTCG